TTTTTCCTATCCCAGCTGAGATGGCAACTTTTTCATTTTCCTCTCTCTTTGTACTCGTTACGTTTTAACTCGCGTGTTTCCTCTCCCCATTGTCGTTCCGTCTTTTTGCTTCGACTCTCCGAGCGAGAGTCAGAAAGGACACGTCTCCTTCTCTCCCAATGAAATTCGAACTTACCTCCTCTTTATTCTTCGCATTCGTGGATCGACGATATCCCGGATGCGACAAATAGGAAGGAATTTCGATTTAGGTCCCAAAGGATAGTCGGAGAAAAAAATCACGTTAATTGAAGAGAAATTTTTTTTCGAAGCGATAAAAAGAATTGTATCTTTCTATATAGATAAAACTTAAAAATTTTGACTCAAAGTTCGATCGAGTTTTAAGGCAAAGATATCTTGGTGAAAATTTAATTTCTCGTCGCTTTTGGGAGTAAAAGTATCCTAAAAAAAGTTGAGGTCAAATGGAATCATCGCATTTATTCAGAGAGAAAAAGAAAAAGAGATCGATTACGAAGATTACTGCTATTTAATTAAACAATGAAAAATATACCTCGATATGGGCATCGTGCATCCTCTCGATCGCGTAGCAATTAAAAACGGTGTAAATCGTCGCTTTCAACGATCGCTGCTTTTTTCCAACTCCGGTCACGATTTCGCGTAATACGCCAATCTTGGCAAGGCCGTTCGAGCCTGAACGAGAATCGTGTTTCCTAATTGGTAGTTCTTTTCTCTCTCTCTCTCTCTCGAGATAATTGGAGCCAGTCGAGAAGCGTCCTCCCCTAGAATCTCGAGAACAGAAAAGTTGGAACGAAAATGACGCAACGAGGCGAAACAACGATTTCTACGACGAGCAAGGAAACGAATCAACTTGGATTCGAACGAAATATTATCGATTTTTACAAATTACGCGCGCCTTTCGAAAGGAAGAAGTTTACTCGTTCGGATTCTCAACGATCCTGCATTACGAAAAAGAGGAGAATCGAATCGTCGTAGCTTTCGGACGACGCGATTGCGAAATGTCGCGCGCTCTCAACGAGATCGAAGATGGTCGAGAGTCCCGCCTTTTCTCGCTCGCGATCCCAATTCAATCAAGGACGCGTCCTCGTTAATCAACCGCTAAGACGATTACACATCGGATCGGACGTTTTTCTCGTCTAGAGTAAATTGGAACAATCTTTGTACGCGATTACCCGTTGGTCATTTTTCTCGAGAGTGGCGTTAAAAAGAAAAGAAATTCGGGAACGATCGAATTTATCATTTATCTTTGCCCGAACAATCGAGCCTTTTTGCCCATCTCGGTGGACAAGGAGTATCGAGTCGTGTACACGGTGTATAATAGTTGGCAAGCGTGATAAATTTTCACGTCACCGTTTTTTAACGCGAGCAAATTAGAATTATTGAGAAACCATTTCTCTTTTAGATCGAAAGGGATATGTTAACGAGGCAAAAGAGAAGGAAAAAGAGAAAATGAAAAGAGGCCGTGGCAATTATGTTGCAAAATTGGCCGACACGCGATTGGTCGTGACTAAGCGAGATAAGATTGGAGGCCGGATTGTGCCGTTTACGGTGGTCCGAACCTATCTCGAGATATGATTTACGAACGCTGTCCTCTCTGCCTTGCTCGAACGAGAGAGAGGAAAAGAAGAAAGGGCTCGCGATCCGGCATTGTCTGGCCGACGCATCGCCACGCATTGTATGCAAATGCGATATCTCGCCTTTCCCCCGACCGTCACGTTCCATTTCTTCGACGTTGATCGCGCGGTCAAAGAAGACACTCTCCTTCTCGTTCCCGTTTATCGCGATATCCAAGGGGAAGAAGAAAACCGAAATGTACGATTGTATATATGCAGAGAGAGAACGAGAGAAAGAGAGAGAAGAGAATAGGTAATTTTTATCGGAGGTTAATGGACGGGCGAACAAAATCGCAATCGGGGCGTTGGTTTGTCGGGTACGGTAATCATTGGGATTGCGATTCGTTTGTTAAACGAATTTGGAAAGAGAATACCGATTGCTCGCCGCTGCTCACGTTAAATACGCCAGCTAATTACCAATTAAGCGGTGTACACAAAGCTCCGTGGCGCGCGACAGATGTTGCCGTTTCCTCCTATCCGTTCATTTACTCCGTATGCGCATAAATTGGTCCTTTTCGATCGATCGAAATTCGAAAGTAAAATGTAAAAGTACTTGGAGGAAAGTGGTCGGGAGAGATAAGGGGGGGGGTGCGTTTGGAATTTGGGGTATAATCGGACGTCTGGCGGATTCCGGACGATGTGAAGAATTTGGCGAATGCGAGGAGGGTCGGAAGATTCCGAGGATCTTTGCGATCCCGATGACCCCAGATATCTCTGGCCACGCTACGATCTTGAGGTTTCAGGGTTTCTAGAGTTTCCTCCGCGGTTATCGGATTTTGAGGGGTCTCGATGGAACAGGAGTTATCTTACGTCGGATTACGGAAACAGGTTGGAGGGAAGCGTATGTGAAGCATTGTATCGCGCGTGCAAATCTTGTATACTCGTATACTCGAGTGTACGAATAATACGGGGATTACAACCACTATATCAACCGGTAATTAAACGACGCTTTACGATAACAAAAATATCGATTATTAGGATCGTAATAGCTCGTCCCGTTCCCTCGTATTGTTAAATATCGGAGAGAAAAAACGAGAATTCGTTTATTATTCGGACTATAACTTTAACGACATCTATTAAATTATTTTATTGATCGCGTGGAATGTCGTTCTATTATTTCTACGAAAAAAAATTTCACGAGGATTATGGTATTTGTCGATGTAACAATCGTGTCTTTTTTTTTTTTTTTACCACGATATTTCCAAGCTTTGGAGAAAATTTATAATTATATCCGTGTATATATATATATATAAATGAAAGATTGTAAAATAGTTGGTAACGTTATTGCTCGTTTAACGGACAAACTAATGCGGCGGTTAAACCGTTTCAAAGTAATACGATTATTCCATGTCTGGTGCCGAGGCACAAAAGATATCCGATTTTCATTTCAATGGAAGGATTATCGCGGTGCACCGTTAAATAAATAGGTAAATGGAAAAAGTTTGGAAAAAAACGATTTCTTCGACGGTATCGAATCGAATCGATTATTTCTTTTCCATTCTCTTTCGTTGTTCCTCGATCGAATTTATGAGAAAAAAAATGCTCGATATCGAATCTGCTTTATTATTTGGTATATCTTCTTAACCGTAATACGATTTCGCGGAACGAACCCTCCAAGATTATTTAGCTGGAAAATACGTCTTTTTCCGATTGAAAAATACGATTGTTCTACTCGGTTGGAAAAATCTTTGATATCGGCAAAAGAATTTTCTCCACGAGTTTCAGTTTATTCTCCGATCGATACTTTCTCGAGGGAAGGAAATATTTTAACATCGGAAAGTTTGGATCCGACGATGTCATAAAAAATTCGAAAATCACTCGATATCAAAATTTAAGACACCTCGAGGAAACGACATCCCGTTTAAAATTAAAATTCTCTCGCAAGAAAAGAAAATCTAGCGGGATCCAACCCCTAATATCCAACCTGGATGTTTTAAAAACGGAAGGAAAAGTTTGAAAAATGGAAGGAGGAGGAGGAGGAGGAGGGAAAAAGAAGAGGCGCTTTGAGAGCGACAGGGTTGGTTTTTCCGCTTACGTGGCCGCGCTTAATTTGCCCTTTTTACCATCCCACCGTCTTGTAAAAGCCGGCACGGGAATCGGGAGTGAACTTTTCAATCTCGCCGCGGATTCTTCGCTTCCAATCTGCTCCCAATATCACCGGGTATTCGTCGACTGCTTTCGAGTTCCTCCCTTGAATTCCAAAGCCCCCCCTCCTGCCTCCCTTCACCCCCTCGATTTCGATGCGTCGAGTTTATCGAACGGATAGAGAATCTCGTCCCATATGCGCGTGTCTCTCCTTCCTCCTTCTTTCCATATTCCACCCATTCCATATATATATGCATGTATATACATCATATTCATTCATAAACATGGTGGAAGGAACGATTATTTTTCTCCTTTCGCGAACAAGAGCGTCGTATTAGAAAAACAGGAAGAAGCTCGAATCTTTATTTAAATTATTTGTTTTGTTGATCGAGATTTGTCGATGGTAAATTCATTTATATGGAAAAGGGAGGGGACAAAAGTTGGCAAAAGCGTGGATCCCTCGTGATTTTTCGGCAGAGATATTTCGGAACGTTCGTTTCGAGCGGATTTATAGTTATACGCGAAGGGGTGTGCCACCTCCTTTTTTCATCCTTTTTTTCAATGCCACTGGCAAGGGAACGCGATTCAGGAAGGAAGAGAAATACGACGTTGGATTTTTTCTTTTTTCTTTCTTTTTCGTTTCTTACGCTTACGTTTTCGTAATAAACGATCGATTCGAAATGCGTGACTTTCTCTTCGCGTTACGAGAAGAATAAATTTTTTTCAAAATCAATTAAACAGGTTTTCCTGTCGTATAGAAAATATATCATCTTACGCGATCTTGTACATCGAAGGCAATTTTTTAAAATTACTCGTGCATCTTCCGATGCGACAGAGGATGGAAGAGAAATTTATAAATATTCTTATCTAAAATACATAACGTATTCCAGAGACGTTTTTACCTGGTGGAAAATAGTTGTACGAAAGTTGAATCGATAACAAGATATCACACGGTTCGTTAAAAAACATCGGTAATATACGAACGATGAATAATTCAGAAGGCGAAGAAGAATAAGTTTCTAAAAAGGGCGGAGTATCGAGTAAAAATTTAGATTAGAAAATACGTACGTAACGTTGGTCCGAGATTGGAGCCGAGATTAACGATCTCGAACCTAATTTTTGGCAACGACGACACGGAGGGAACGTTGTAACTCTTGTTACGTGGCGAGAAGACACGCGGCTCTAATTAACTTCTTCCCGATCCACCGTTTCATCGATCGACTACTTTTCCTTTTAATTTTAAAGGATTCAAGAAAATTTCGAAAGTAAGAAGATGATATCACTCACTTATGTTCTTTTCCCTGTACTGTTGCAACGCGTCGCTGGTGAGGCAAGCGAGGACCAACCACAGGACGAAGCCGCACCTTCTCATTTCGACCTGCAAGCAGATACATCGATTAATCGCAACTCGATTTCCTCCACAATATTTTTTCCGATCTCGATGACGTCGATCATCGTTTGGAACAAGAGGAAACCGTGCTGGTATTCCCGCCCCAAACAAAAGCGGCCAACAATTTGCGCACTGTGACTCCGCCAACGGATGTTAGTATTAACGCGAAATAGACGACGATCCTCCTGTCCTGTATAGGCGATCGATAATGGTTTCGCGCCATTCACCAGCGAGGAATCTCTCTCTCTCTC